GAGCCCTGCTGACCCCTGCAGCCGGCAGCCAACAGCTAAACTCTTATTTGCCCAGCGGAGCCGGATCTTCCCGGGAAACCTGCTCCGCACAAAGCAGCCGCGGCCCCCACGCAGTCGGTGACCGCCAGCTGGAGTAAAGCACACAGGATGCATGAAGGAAAACGGCAGCTCGGTGGTTGAAGTGCTCACTGTTAGTACAAGACACCTGGCAGAAGGGATCTCCCTCCCGGAGGGGCATGCTTCCCCATGCCCCTGCAGCTCGCCGTCCCTCGGGAGGCACTAGGCTGGACGTTGCCGTCGGAAACTCGCCATCCCCGGGGCTGTAGCAGCACGCTGCAACCTCCTGACACTCCGTCTTCCCAGAGCTGGCAGAGGCGTGGAGGTGAGGCCAGGTCAGAGGGACGCTTCAGAGGACAGGAGGATAAAGTGGCCAAATCTAAGGAATGTTAACAGTGCTGAGAGTGTGAGATCTTCAGGGGCGACTTGGTTTTAGACCCTGGCAGAGGCCACCTTGACGGAGACAATGAGAGAGGTTTTAATTCCAGCAGAAGGGTCAGCTCAGCCTACCAGAGGGAAAAGTCAGGCCAAGAAACGTGCAAGGAACCGTGCGGTGACATCCCTCAGTGCACCACAGCTGTGCTGCCCCAGTGACGGTGGAAATGCAACACTTTCCCAGCTGCCACCCCACTCCCGCTTGCAAACTCCCATCCCTTACTTCGGCAGCCGCCTCTTCCCGCCCCTCTCCCACATGCTGCCCAACTGCGGCCGTTACTCAAGCCATCCCGGTGAAACTACCATGTGGTGTTGAAACTTTGGAGTGACACCATGGCAACACAGCACACACAGCCCGCTCCTGACCAAACACAGCGCGGGTTCCCGCTTCCAGAGACAGTTGATGGCGTTACAGGGTGAACGAGTCCTTGTGCATGGCAGGATTAACTCCTGAACACCTGACTTGCAGGAAATCTCACAAGAATCCTCAAACCTGTCAGGTCTTGTGACAGGGGAGACCTCCCATAGCCCCTTCACTGCAAATGGCTGCTGCAAGGGCTAGTTGGGTTCTGGAGATCAGCAGCTAAACCGTTCTGGAAGATGAAGACAGTTGGGAAGCTACCTGTAGTACAGACACCAAGGACACTTAGTACTGTTTCACGTAGGTGGAAGAAGTGGCGAGCCTGGGCCTCTCACCGGACGCCCCTCTGAACCCACACCAGATGGCAGGAAGAACCCAGCTTCCTTCTGCACCTGTCTCCACCTCCACTCCAGCAGGACTCGAGGAACAGAGCTGCCAAGGAACCGGCATTTCTAGCTAGTGTGGCACGAGGTGGTACAGTGGTCCCGCTGAGTCCGGGCTCATCTCTGTGAAACCAGACCTAATGACCCCCTGCATCCCAGAGCTCACCAGTACTGGCCCAGTTGCTGCAGCTTCAACACAGAACCTCATCTTCTTGTCCCAGCTCTGTGCCCTGCCAGGAGAAGCTGGCTCCAGCTCCTGCTTTTTCACACAGGTGCAAAAGGAGCTGTGCCATCTGGCATGGCTAGATCCAAAAAGTGGGCCACTTCCAAGTGCCTGAAGCTACGCTACCACTGCCAGAGCTACCGCCGTACCAACGGGTGTGCCTGATGTTTCAGTGCCGAAGAGGATTCTACAGTCGCTCTGGTGGCTTTGGGATCCTCACTTCAGCACGAGGAACAGAAGTAAGGACATTCTGTGTCAGAGCCACTGCAAAGCACCAACGCTGGAATTGTTTGTGGGTGAAAGCCACCAGCTCAGAGCAGACAGAACTGTTTCACGCTGTACCTCACGATTTTTAATGCACTGACACTGCAACAGCCACGGAACAAGAGACTGCAGCTCGTGCTCGGGACAGCAGAAACCTCACTCTGGTCTCGAGTTCCATTTGAAGAGCCACAACCTCGAGCCACTTGCACAACTGAAGAGGCTTTAATTTATGTACAGGCAAATACAGACAAAGCAGTCGGTGGTTTTCCATTTGATTAACAACAGTTACTACACACTTTAGTACTAGTACAGCTGTTTGCTATTCAAGGTGTATCAGCAGTGAGCCTTGTACAGAGCAGCCGAAGGCTCCAGAGCTGCTGACCTCACAGCAACACACCTGCTACGTAACTAATACGTAGTTACTACTACGTAACTAATAGCGTCCTGGCCCCCAGCTTCTACTCGGCAGCACGCAGGAGCCTCAGCTGTAGGAGCCACAGAGGCTGATGCCAGGCTCTGATGTGACATGACCAGAGCAGGTAGGTTCACTTTTAGCCACTTGGCTGGCACTGAGTTGGGTACACACAGGAGCCAGCTGCCTCCAGCTTCCACAGAGCTGTTCCCAGCAAGAATCACTCCTGCTCTACTACATGTCCAAAATGAAATGTTCAGTCTTTCCAAAAAGTCTGAATCTCGTTAAGTTTTATAATGCAAGAAAGCACCAAAGAGCTTTCTGCAAATATACATACTGGGTAATAAGTGGACACATAGTGGGCAATAAGTGGGGACAACTGCTGCATTCTATCATCCATCTCTGATTTCTGCTTTTAATTCCCCACTTCCTGCTGCACGGAATTCTGCGAGTGACATGGCAATCCCCTTTCCAAAGCCCATTGGCTCTTCAAGGCCTGCCATGTTCGGGAAGCGGAACACGCATCGGCCACAAGAATCCTGACCCTGCGTGGCAGCGAGAGCGCAGGGCTGATCTCTGCTCCAAGAGCTAAAAGCCGTGTCCTGTCAGGCAAGACGTAGAAAGACAGGTTTCAACGTCAGCCAAGAGTCCTAAAGCCAGTCCCAGGATGATGGGAGATTCCCCCTACAGGGGAGAATCCCAGAGCACAGGGAGAAGAGGAAGAGGCCACCCATCTCAAGATGCAGGCCTACAGAGCAGCGAGTGTTTTTCTGAAGTAGAGCACTGGAGCTAACGAGTCCTGGTAAATAACTGCCCGTAACGCACATCAGCCACATGGCACGATGTTCCACGATGGAGATTGCTGCTAGAAAATGTAAACCCCCTTGCTTTGGCCTAGGAACAGAACTGACAGGAAAGACAGGCTTCGGCTGCAGAGCACATGCTGTCAGCTCTGCCTTGCTTCCCTGCTCCAGCTGCAACGAGGAGATGCTGCCCTGAAGGGAATTGTATCGTCTCTCCTCTCTCCAGAACATTTAATGGCACGAATCAGACAACATGGATGGATTACATTGAAATGAGCACACAAAGTTTAAACGTGACACAGCAGCTTGCACGAGGGACAGCTTGGCCAGACCGTTAGTGCTGAGGAACGCTCAGGAAGTGCTTGGAAACAGCGAGGGGCCATGCCCCGGACCCACTGAGCGACATGACATCCCTCTCCCTGCCCCCAGAGTACTCCTGCGCGCTTTTGCTGCTCTGAAACGTGGCAAATGGGCTACTAGACCTGAGTGAGCGGTAAGAACTTCTGGTAATAGCTCTTTGTCACGTCGATCATGAGCTCCTGGGTACACTCCGGGAGTTCCCCAGAGAAGAGACCTGGAAGAAGAACAAGAGGACGACCATCAGCATTCTTGCAGGAGAAAACAGAGACAAGCTTGTATTCGACATTCAAAGCAGTGACCTTGATTACACTGTGAGTAAACACCGACAGAACAGCACAGGGCTCATCTCTCATGCCGAGTGATCCAGTAGGATCGTTCCATCGTACCCCTGGGGCGGACGTCGGGCTGTAACAGCTTCTGCTGCTCCCCGTAAAACGCCATCAGCAGGTAAATGACACGGTGCTCGATTTGCACGACGAGATCCCCAGCACAGCCAGGGCAGCGGGCAGGAACTGTGTATTCACACCCCCCAGTTTCATGCACCTACCTCCCAGTTAACACAAGAATGACGAGTAAGTGGAGTTCCTACGGTTTCGAGCACTGAAACACGTGCAAAACCAGAGCCCCCGGAAGCAGGAGCGCTTCCTCGGCCAGAGCCTCGCACCTGCTGGGCTCCAGGTGCCGGAAAAGCCCTGTTGCTCACTGTACAGGATGGCCACAGCTGGCATCCCAGTGCCACTGTCCCACGTAAACACACACTGCCCACCTAACACGCAATAAACAGTGAATTTCCCAAGTCAAAACTGGTACTTTGCAGTTCCCCAAGTGCCCCATACCTTTACTTCTGGGCACCAAATGATAACAGGCACCTTTGCCATAGCAATCCCAGTTCAAATCAAGAATATCCACGTTATCCACACCTCTGTGCAAGTCCAGTTCGAGGGAGCATACCTGGGCAGCCCGAGAAGACTGTGAATGGTGGGACCACTGTTTCAGGAGGTAGCACTGTGTTGTCCAAGATTTTGCAGCAGTCTTTCAGAACGCACCTACGGCCCTGAAACGGAGATGGGGTAAAGTTTATACTTGGAATACAATTTGCTTTTGCTTACTCCTGGTACGTCACCTGAACTTCAACACATTTAACTGCTCAAAACACATTCTGTGTGTGATCACAGGAATAAATCTTTACCCTGACTGAATGCTCTTCCCAACAGAATTCACTTTTAGGGTTTTTGAGGACAAAAACCCGTTCGCTCTCAATAACAAGTGCACAGGCAGCTGCACGTTGACACATGTCCATGCACAAACTGGAACCCAGAACCCGAGTCATGCAGCGACACAGCACGGCCCTCCCCAGCTCGGCAGGCAGCAACCCTGAGTATTTTCCGTTATTTGTGTAGAAACACAATTCCACTGGTACTCTGAGGAAAGGCTGTCCTTCCTGGACAGCCCCTTAGGTACAGTATTCCTGGGATGGGTTTTCCAAACAGCAGTCAGCTGAATCCGCTGTCCTCAGGAGAGCAACACTGAAAGCAGCACCTTCTGTGGAGGAGGGAAAGGAGGAGAAAGGAACAGCACAGAGCGAGCAGGCACGGGCACATCTGCAGCAGTCACAAAGCCTCGGCAGTGCTCAGGGTTTGAGCAGGAGACAGAAATGGCACTCACGATGACACAGTTCTTGCCTATGTGCACGTAGGAGCCGATCTGGGCTGCGTTGACAACGCAGTCCTCCTCGATGAAGACGTGGTCACCAATGTGGAGAGGGAAAAAGGCCACCCTGTGACAGCAGAGTTATTCCTTCAGGCACACAACAGACACACGGACCCGCGATGCCGTCAGAGGATCTCCCGCCCCCAGCTGGATCTCCAGAGGCAGATCTGATGCTAAGGAAGGGTGAACCGCAACTGGTCTTTTCCCATCTTTTCTAAAAGATAGCCCGAGTGAGTAGGAGGAAGGTGTTGTGAGCACGCAAAGAACGGGTGCAACACGTTCTGCACTCAGCTGTTCTACCCCAGCCTTTCTGTCCCATGGTCTGAAGGGAATGCTAACCCCCATGGCAAAGCTGCAAATTTGAGAGAAAGGCGGGTTTAGGGGAACATATTTCTGCCAATCGCTGCAGGAAACACAGATCTCAGCCAAGCTGTGGGTTTTCCTAAGCCTATAGGTTGGATCTTCGCCCTCCCCGAGGGAAGGAGAGCCTTACCCCTTACTGAACTTCTTGAAGGGCGGTCTAATGACGCTGCGGCTCTTCACCACGCAGTGCCGGCCGACCCGCACGTTCGCCAGGTCCCCACGGATGATGCAGTCGTTCATAACTATCGTCTGGGGGACAGACAGGAAGCGCCGTT